GGAAAGAGCATCCTCTTGGCAGGACACTTTGACCATCTCACCAAAACCATAGACAGCCAGTGGGAAAAGGGGTTGTCTCCCAAAGAAAAACTGAGAGATTGTAACCAAAAGGGAGAAAGGATGAGTAAGACCCAATCTCTGCCCACATGGAGCTTACAATCTAATAAAGACATGAACTCAAAAACCCATGTAAGAAGGCCAGAAAGCAGAACACGGGAAGTGACATAGGGACCAGAGAGCTCATGAAAAGAGAAAGCACATTCAGTTGGAAGAAGGGTTCCATTAAAGAAAGCGGTCTCGAGGGGAGCCCTGGAAAATGACAACGGGATATGCAAAGAACAAACAAACCAGGCACTGAGTAAAAGAGCAGAGACAAGAAAGTATTGAGGAAACAGCTAGGAGTCCCATCTGATGGAAGTACAGGACAAGGAGGACTGAGAAGTTAAGATCGTAGGTTGGGTCCAAGTATATAGACAATCAATACCTGTTACTAAAAACCAAAATTGAAACAATACAAAATCTCATCATCCAGAGATAAAAGACTTTAAATATTTTGGTGAATTTCCTTCCAGACAGCCCTCTATGCACATGTATACACCAAAAACTTTTGGAAGAAAAGACAATTTATAGGGGTAAACTTGAGAAGACACACTAACGGAATGTGGAAAATGAGGGAGAGGCGTGGCAAAAGAGGGGCACCAAACATGGTGGCTGGGAGAATGGGGTTATTATTAACAGATAAAGGGAAATCTGGACAAGCTGGCTGGGGACACAAAAGATGACTCTGGTTTAGGACATGCTGAGTCTGAGATGCCCACAGTTCCTCCAGGCTGACCTCTCAAGATGTAAACCTTAAGCTCAAAACAACAGGGCAGGCTAGAATTACACATTTAACAGTCATCTGCAGAGAAGGGCTATCTGAAACCCTGGGAGGAGTGAGGGCACTGAGGGAGGGGGCGGGGAGAGAAGAAAAGAGCCCAACAACAGAACGGGGTCGGGGTTGGGGGGAGTGCAAACATTTGGGGGCTGACAAGAGAACTCAAAGTCAGAGAAGCAAACAGCAAAAGGAAAACCAGACCTGCCTTGTCACAGAAACTAAGGAAAGAGGCAGCCTCCAGAATGACAGGATGAAGATGAAGAAAAAACCACAGCACAGTGACTGCACGGTCACTTAGCAAGATGGGGCTAAAAGCTAGATTGCAAAGGTAGAGGTGACAGAAAGAGAAAGCTCTAGAGCCCGAGGGGCAAACAAATTTGAGTCAACTGTTTGAGGAGAGAGAAAACACAAGGAAGTTAGCAGTTAAAGGGGAATGAACCAGTCGAAGGATAAAATGTCGGATGTTTTAAACATCATCATCGATGGCCAACATGATTTGTTGCGTAACTGCTACGTGATCAACACAGATCTAGTGTTTTATTGGTACATATTTAATCTTCACCACACACACAAAAAGGAGCCAAGAAGGTTGACAGATTTGGAAACTGAGCCTCTGACAGATGTCATGACCTTGAGATTACATGGCAGTTAACAAGTGGAAGAGCCTGATGCAAAGAAAAGGAACACTGACAAAAGTCAAATCGGTGGAGGAGGCCAGAGGACACCCTGGCAAGGAAAAGAGTACTTCTCCTCAGACGTAAGTGAAGAAATGCAAAAAGCAGAGAAATCTTCAATGCAGGAGTGAACTTAAGGCTACCTTCCAGTGGCTCATTTTGGATCAAATGAAAAGAAAACTGCAGAACAATTTTAAGTGTGCACTCTAGTAACTGAAGAAAATCCACTATATACCTGTATATTTTCTTTCTGACAAATACTGCTAAAATGCCGGGAATGCACTAAGTATTAGTTTAAGGTGTAGAAATAAAATTTCTACTTTTATTTCATATTGTAGCCCACTAGGGATTTTTTAAATTCCTACTGAAAATTACGTGTATTTATATATTTAACCAGCCTTATGATAAACAGAAACTTCCTGAAAACAAAAATAAGGGCCAAAATCTCTTTGCATTAACACTAACTAGGTAAAAAGTCTATGGCAATTTCTCCTTACGATTGTAAACAAATATTTTTATATAGTTCTAAATCAAACAGAGCCTAAATTCTTCTCACATTTCATTAGTTCACAGACGTTTCAGTATTTTGCAGAAACCTCATTACTAACAGCTGGGTAATGTTTCATTTCATTAAAAATGCTATTTCTTGACTCGATATTGAATCAATTAATTATGATAAGTAGGTGAACAGTCTATCCAAATAAAGAATGGGTAAGGGAGAACACACACACACACCACCACACTTTGATTACAGTCTTCTGATTAGCTACCCAAATCATAAATTTTAATTCAGTTTTGCCTGATTAAAAAGGAATATATCTCAATGCCTCTTGTTTAAATTCCAACTGGAGAGTTTACAGTATGAAACATGGAGCATCCTCTTCTGAAGTAAGAGCTTGTATAATAAAAGACTTGCTTCTGTCCAAAAAAGGGGAAAGGCCACCTAACAAGAATGTAACTTGGGAAATATCAAAACACATTTTAACTTCGGCATGTCAAGGTCAGATTGCAGACTGTTTGAATGGCCACATTCATTTCACTGTAATTCAAATTACCCAAAAGTTTAGAAAGATGAAGGAGGGGTTAAAAGACTTCCTGTTTATTAAGGGAGCTGCTCAACTTGTCCCATATACCTACTTCATCACTCTTAAGTCAAGGGTCAGCAATCCAGGGCCTGTGGGCCAAATCTAGCTAACTACCTCCTTTTGCAAATAAAGTTTTACTGGAACACAGCCAGCTCATGCATTTACATAGTGTCCATGGCTGCTTTCATGCTAAAAGCCGACTTGAAATTACAGCAGAGACTATATGGCCCTCAAAGTCTAAACTAGTTACTATCTGGCCAACCTCTGCTCTACTGTGTAATGGATTGAGGGAAGCTGGCAAGGCCTCAGTCCACTCACCCTAAAATGTACCACAGATAATACCATGAGCCTGGGCCACTGAGCTACAGACAGTGAGTTCCCCATGGGATGGGTCCTCAGGTAGAAACACAGGGCGCCAACCTAATAAGGAACATCACCCTGACTCTTTAAATCACCACAGGATTCAGAAGGGATTCTACAAAATCACCATTCCACCCACCAAGCTCCTAATCTAATCAATCCAGGCTTTCAACTTCCCTCATTGGTGAAACTTCTAAGTCTATTAAAATAAAAATTTTAGGCTTCCAAAAGAAAAAAAAAAAAGCTCTGCTCAACACAGCACAATGTTCAATTTGTAAAAGCATATGGTCTACAGGAAGCACACGATCTTGCTGGCGTAATTCTCATTTACAAGGTCTCTGAACCCTTTAATTCCAACTATTCTAAGAGAGGTTGTGCGCATGTGCTCCTTACAGGCTTCTCTCACCCCATCTGAAAGCAGCTCCTTAAGACTTTCCTCCAACCCACCATATGTCAATGAAACACAATTCTGTTACAGCACAGACTGGAGAGCCAAAAATGTTCTTAGACAAAAAAAGTATGGAAAAGAAACAGTGAATGAAATGTGAAAGGGAAGTAGGAAACCTGGATTCCAGTCGCAGCTCCTTCACTAATGCTATGCCATTCTTTAAATTATTAAATTTAATAATTATTAAAATTTATCCATTTTAAAGTTGTGCCTCAGTTTCCTCATGTGCTAAATTAGTGGTTCTCAACAAATTTTCTGTCTCTATAAGCCTCTCACAAACAACATTTATGTCACAATTCTCAAAATATCCTGGGGGCACAAAGTTTTTAAAAAGTCTCTCTCTTTTCTTCTGATATTCTCATCACCCCAAAGTGCCCCGCCCACCTCAGGGACTCTTTATGTCATTCTCATTTACTTCTACACAGCAATTTATGAATATCCTTTCTCCACGGGAATGTAAGCTTCAGGAGAGCAAGCACTTTTGTCTATCTTGTACACAACTGTACTCCCCAAATCTACAAGAGTCCATATCATGGAGCGGGCGCTAGAAATGGTCATTGAATAAATTAGCGTTATCAAATGTACCTCCCCAAGAGGGTCTCTTGCTTACTTACTCTCATTTTCCCCCCTGAGGGACTGGAAGTTTCCTCATTTCTCTAATACAATTTGAAGCCACTTTTCATATACAACACACCTCACTATCAGGGTAGTGACCATAATACTGAAGCAACATTACAGTACTAGCGTTTTTCTGTTTATTTCACGTAGTGCCAAAACGCTGTCAATACCAATACTACGGTTTAAAAGAATCCAGAATTCATCTAATAGAAGTGAAACGAAATATTTCATGTACTTCAGAAATATAAAGTACAAACATACATAAACATAAATGTTAAACTTGGATTGTTCTAATTATCTGTGATAAGATATAATACTATCCAAAGAATTTACACTAAACAATACTTAAAGAAAGTTCATCCTAGACAAAATTAAAACCAAATTTTGATATTATTATTATTAATTACTGGACCTACTGGTGTTCAGGCTACAAAAGAAGGCTTTGGGAAAACCCAACAGCTAACTTCAAATATT